TAGTTTGCCTACTCCATGCTGTTTTCACGATGAAAATCGAGCGAACGTTGTAAATACGGCTAGAATTTTAATTTTTGTTCGAGTTTACATGCAATCTGCTAATATATTTGTTTATTTACTGTGCATATACATTTTGTTCGTATTTACTTCTTTCTTTCGTGATCGGAAGACGATTATTAAAAATACATTTTGTTCGTATTTACTTCTTTCTTTCGTGATCGGAAGACGATTATTAAAAATACAGCTGTAAATTTAAACCACTGTAGTTGCGTATCGTGAGCAATAAGTGGCAACAATGTCAGGCGACGATGAATTCAGGCGATTGACACATTGCCATGAATAAATTTGATAACTGCTTGCAGACTTCCAGTGGTCATTGTTTATGTTTGGACTCTTGAAACAATAGCAAAATAAAAGGTTGGGCAACTACTCCTTTGTTTAGGCTTGGGAAGAACGATGCAAGCCTTTTACAAATAATTTCAGCTGGATGTACGTTGGTGGGCGGGTGTTGAGAGTTACTGGGCGGCCGTAAAACTTGATGGGCCTTGTGGAGAACACTGTTTAGGAAATAAAATTTGGATTAGTGGGATTTCCCATAAGGCTAAAAAGTTATTTCAGACTCATGGATTCACAGTCCTGGTGTATAAATCTGCAGGTCATTTTGTTTGATCGTGTTTTAGGAATGTGTTAAATTTTGGGATGAATGAGAGATTGGATTTGAATTAGATGTAGAGGACTTCTCACATGATAACACAATTTATCTACAACAATATCTCAAGTTTCAAAAAAAGTTTATGGTTTTTCAGAACTTTTCAGAACAGAGTCTTGTGTATTAACTCTGTGATCAAGGTAAAATAAAAACATGTTTTTCTTGTTACTAAATTTGTTATTTTGATCATGGATAGTGATCAGAATGTTATAGCTTTGATTTAACTGTCGTGATCTATCTTAAAGGCATTCATATGAAAATAGTTTGCTAAATTACTGAGTGGGGGTAATTAAAACACAGCAAAAGTAATCTCTTCTTTTAAAAGGGGGTGAAGGTAATGTGACAAGTCAAATGCATTCACATTCTAACTAGCCTTGTAATTTACTTCGTGCATGCACAGTGGTGCTCAACTTGACATTCAGTCAGTTGGTCACTGAGATTTGCGGTGTGAGCATCGCTTTGAAACCACTGAGGGACAACAACCCGTGCAGTATCTCCCATCTACTTTCCACGTTTATGAATTCACTTTCAGTAAGATGATAGCTAATATTTGAAACGCATTTTGTAGCAAATTTAGTGTAAACATTGTATATTTCGTTAACTTGTAAAACACGAGTAGGAGCGTGTACCCATTGTTTGCACGGAACAACGTTGAAAGCCCATTACATTTGTTCATAGTGGTAATTAGTTATTCGGGATACATAAATTTATTATGAATTGTTCATTTTTCTTATTGTATTTGCGTAATATTTATGTAATATTTAGGTAATATTTGTTGAATTGTAGTTTTTCTAAATGAGAACAGGTCCGAGTTTGTGGCACTGTTTAAATGTGCGAATGGTTATCATGATTCAAGTTTAGCAGTTATCATGACTCGTTTATTTGTTCTAAATTATTGTAGGTGTGTTTGCGTGTAAAAAGAAACTATGTAATTATATAGGGCGTCACTGAATTGTACTGGTTGGGGTGAGTTTATTTACGCTTTACTCCAGTGCAATATTATTTCTGAGACTCGCTTTATTTATTTATATTCATGAAAAAAGGGAAGTCTCTATGCGTCGACTTGAGTCTGTTGAGAGGCATGATACAGTTTATTGTGTAGTTCGTACATTTAGTAAACTATTGTATTTTGATATCATGGTTTCTACTTGGAATTATGATCTCCATACCTCCAATGACATTGTAGTAATCTTGTCTCTTTATTGTATTTATGTAGGTTTCAGTCGTGTTAACTTTCATAGTTGCTTATATTGGAAATTAAAAGAATGCATGGTGACTTCATATCTGCCTGGTGTCATATTTTCTGCGTTACATTCATTTCAATAACCATACTAAAAAATCATACTGTATTGTTTACAAAGTTTGTTTCTTTTATTTCACACTTTCAAAGTTTTCGAGGGGAACAGCAACAGTGAATGAATTAGTCTTGCACATGCTTTAATTATCCACAGGCGCTGAAGGATGTCAGAGAAGAATTCACTATCCATACTGTGATTTTCTCAGACTCTAAAATCAACAAATCAAACATACCTTCCTCTGTATTGGTGTTGGAACTTTGTAACCTTTCCTGAAAATTCCTTTCAACACACCCATTGATAATCCTAGTGTACAATAAATATATAAACAAATGATCTTATCAGAACAACCCAATTTAGAAAGATACTAAAACTATATTACAGGCAACAGTTTCTAGTAGAACTTTCTCCTCACATATAGGCCACACAAATTATGGGTGTGTCAATTTTAAATAAGACAAGATTGGTTTAGTATCACATGGCTATATGCTTTAGCCAATCATTGGGTATGTGTGATTGATGAGAAAATTTTTCTGTCGAAATTTGTTAATATTCTCTCACGTTTGCACCCTTGTATTGAAAATGTGTTGGTTTCATAGTATATCTATGATATGATGCTGCATTGGCATTGTAATGGATGATGTTAATTACTACAAAGTTGTTCCCCAGCCAAAATATGTCATGTAGTTTTCAACCTTGTCTATTTCCAGTGCACACAGGGCCAGTATTAGTGCCCAAATTGTATAAAAGAGCAACCTACCCATTGCTTGAAATCCTCCAGATTTTTTTTTCTTTCTATTTTGTTTAGCAACCATCTTCCTTGTATTCAGTTCTGCATCGGATGAATAACCATCTATCACCTTGTTTGCAGAGAACCCTGGACTCAGAGTATCCTGCATTTACAAATCAAAATGTCATTATTATTGCTGCAGTCAATGTTATCCACAACCACACTCATGTCACTAATTTCCAAATCCCCAAAAGCCCTGGGATGGATGGGATTAGAGATCACGTCAGTTGCATTTGTGTATTTAACACAAAAGCTATGAATAGCACAGCAGCGTTTGAACACAACATTATACTTAGCCTTGTGTACATGTCTGTGGCGTAGCCACCGGAACAACAGACATGTGCACAGATCTACATTATACACTTACTGTGCTTGATTCAGAATACAGAATATTAATTAAACGTTCAGTAGTGACTGCGGCTAGAGGGACTATGAAGCTGAGAGATGATTCTCCCAACCCCGACACATTGAGTTCTGTGGGCAGGGATACTGATCGACTTACCTAACCTTCAACGTTATGACTCTAAAGACGTTGACTTACCATTGGTTTCACGATTTGCACATGGTCGACATCCTTTTCTGACTCCGAAGAACGTTTCCCTCGGCCTTTCCTCCAATGCTTGTCAGGACGTTTTTTGGTGTTTTTCTTATTCTTCATTTTACCAGTGTGTAAAGAATATACGTTTTGAAATGCTTGCTAAATTAAATTGGCAATATCCTTTAGAATCGGAGTGAACGTAAACAGACCCAGGAACACATTGTGCAATCCGCCATGTTGTGGAAATAACATGCGTGTGCCGTAAATAAGTTAGATACGCCGTAAATGAGTAAGACCATGGTCGTAAATGTTGCAAATATCATACATACTAGTAGATCCTGGCATAATTATAGAACTTGCCAATTATATTTACACAAGAAAAAGATTGATTTAACATTTAAATACTAGTTAAGTTCTTTTGTTTTGTTTTGTTTTTTGTGCAATTCTTACATATATTTTGTTATTATTTTAAAACTCTTTTTTGCTGTACTTATCCTATATAAATCTTTTTACACGGAGGCAATAAAGTTATTATTATTATTATTATTATTATTATTATTATTATTATTATTATTATTATTATTATTATTATTATTATTATTATTATTATTATTATTATTATTATTATTATTATTATTATTATTATTATACCCTGATATATCCGGCATAATATGCGAGGGGAACTAGGACCTAACCTGACGTAGCTATTAACGTAACATTGAAAGCGTCACGTGACGTGTATAACTTGGCCTCGTAAGAAGTCCAGTTTTTTTCTCGACCATAGTGTTTTTATGCACGAGTGTGCGTTTATTTTTCTCGACAATAGTTTTTTTTTTTTTCTGGACGCGCCGTTTATTTTGCTCGAATATTGTGTTTGCGTTCTCGAGTGCCCTCTCTATGGTACCCCTCAGAAACAAATAATATTTATACCGACTTAATTAAAGACTTGGGAATGGATCATTTGAAATCGAGGGGATCATGAACATTTTGGGGAAATATAATAGCAAACTCACATTTGCTAGAAATGTAAAGTAAAACAATTCAAACAATATGTGTTTTAAAAAGTAAATTTAAATTCTTATGAAAAGTCTAAATTTTCACTCCATACAGAAATACAGTTATTGTACTATATGTACGCAGCCTGACACTATGATGACATCTCCCGTCGCCCTCGGCTGAAGATAATGCCTGGCATGTTACAATTTTTAGCAAAACTCAAACAATTGAGGGCATACGATTGATTACCTTCAAATAATAGACATGACAGGTAGGTGAACTACCCCATAAATGAAGACTGCATTTTATAAAATGATCCACAGACCAAAAACTATTTTTTTTTTTGTAATTTAATATTAAATGTTGGAGTAATTAGTAGATGGACTGAGCAAAAGGAACGTTAAGTTGAAATTGTACACATATTTCAAACTCTTAAACGACAATCAAGGCATGCAATAATAAAATTAGACACTTTCACAAATATTATATTAATGCGCTATCGAGCATGTGGAATGTAAATTTTTCACGTGTTCTTGGGTACATGGCTAAATATTCGTCAGAATTACACACAAGCAATCTGAGTTGAAGTCAACACTATGATAGAAACCAATATAACGATAACTCATTAATAATAATAAAAAAATTGCAGCACGGTGACTATGAAAAGATTTCCCCCAGACAAAACCATTTTGACTGTCAAACAAGATATTATGACATTCTAGGTGGTGTGACAGAATTGTCTTGTGAATAATAATCTTCATCGTCTTGCAAACAACAGAAGTCAAACTTATTGGTCGGCAGTTACTTTCCCTTTGTTTAATAACAGCCGCCTATACATCTGTTGTTAACACTTACTCTACAAAAAAAGGTTACTACAGTCCATGTAAGTCCGCTGTTAAAGATTGCATGCGGTCTTAGTGACATCGTTATCCACTTATGACAGATAATGTAATGCAATGATACCAACAGCCTGAGTTCTACTTTTGGTTTTATCAAAATATTGAGGCAGTCTTTTGCTGCGTTGTGGAGTTAGCATTGGACCACTAGTTTAGTTTTACCACAGTCCTAGCGGGTCTGTGGTTTTACCACAGTCCTAGCGGGTCTGTGGTTTTACCACAGTCCTAGCGGGTCTGTGGTTTTACCAAAAAGAAATGTCCCTGCTGCACGTGACACAGCTTACTACTTTAAACCTTGCTCAGTTTTTGAGAAAGTTAGTTATAAATCGAATGACAATGTATTGTTATTGTATTATTATGTACAAGCATGGAGCTTTTTTCCCATGGTACAATAAAATAGCATTATTTTGTGTGTTACAGTTACGTTTTTTGAAAAACGTGTTCTGTTTTTCAAAAAGTCGCTATTTTAGAACAATTCCATAGAACACAATGCCTTGTTATACTTTTTAAAACACAGATTTTTAGAATAATTCAGAACAACAAAAAGTGCCCCATCCTTAACAATATATGATTTTCAGCCTATGTCACCAGCTGACAATTTAAGATGTGACATATTATCACTGCTATAGGAACCTATGGTAAAAGTATTATAACGAGTACTGACAAAATGACCACTAAAATCGCGTGAATCAATGCTAAATCAATTGAAATTGTGGGAATTATATTTGAAAACTTATTACTATTTGAGATTGATACATCTGTAAACCAAAATAAGTATTATTTTTCATTTTCTTTGGTATATCTCTAATTTTGAAAATAATAAACAAGTCAAGTATGTAGTGTTGCTTATAGTCATGTATGTATCATCCTACATTAATATAATGATAACTAGACTGTATGTTGTCAATTTCCAAGGTTGTATTTATATATCATTGGATGTGATGTCAGTCGCATTTTGGATGGTAATTGATTTCCGTGATTGAAAACAGACACAAATGTAAGTATGGTAACAGTCATTAAAATCATTTTTTGGGGATTCAGAGCTAGTTTGACTTGGTCAAGTATCCCCTCCCCCTCGCCTCATATCTGAACCTTGGTGTATGTAATAATTTAACTCATATATCAATTTACGTCACTATTCTATTCTATTCTATTCTATTCTATTCTATTCTATTCTATTCTATTCTATTCTATTCTATTCTATTCTATTCTCGCTCATTTCACATATACATGTATTACATCGAAAGTTCCCCGTAAGGCTGCGAGCCACGTGACGTTACCGGAGTACTATAAAGCATATATTGACATATTTGACATACTGTAAAATGACTAATTTTCACTGGGTTTAAATTTCACTGATTTACCATTTCAGGCATATTCAGTGGGTTTTAAATTCACGGTTTCGTCATTTAGATGATGTGTTCAATGCTAAATTTTACATATTCACTGTGTTTTAATTTAGCGCATTTTTCCAGTCAGCGAAATAAGCAAAATTAAAACCCAGTGAATAATTAACCCTTTTACAGTATTCTGATGTACAACACAGAATTCACTGTTTTGATACAAGCATGTAATGTGTTATTGTCTTATAATTTTGTGATAATCATACTTTTTATGACCAGTAAATGAGTTTCATGACGCATGAATTGGCACATATTTTTCAATAACCTAAAAAAAACAGACGTCAACGACCTTTTTTTCGAATTGGTGCTTGAACACAAACGTTCAACATCCGAAAATTGTGGAATTTAGTGCCATGGATGACAAACTATGATTTCCATAGTATATCTGTGGATTGTATAATTATACACGAATCAATACCCCACAATAGTAACAATTCTAATCCACTATATTCTATTCTATCTGAGCTCAGTGATATACTGACAAGGTCGTGTCGTCAAATGTTTGGTATTTTCCCCAACGTCTCGAAGCAGTACTATGTGAATAATGTGTTATACAGACAAGATATGCTTATAGATTGTAATCCAATGAGATTGACCCACTCAAACGAGTACATGGACAGTCTCTATTACCACCAACAACACTGATAAGAATGTATTTAATTATCCCCAACCTTCAACGGCATTTCAACCACTTCTCACGCTTTTCTGTATGATCGAAAGACGTATAGAGAAAATAAATATGCGAAAAATAAAATAAAAGTATTATTGACATATCGATTAAAATATATTTGAATTTTACGTTATGGTTATACTTCGTGTACTGTTGAAATATCCGGGGTTTTCGTCGTGAATATTGTCGAGTGTATATCACGTGATTATTGTCCAGGTATCTGATTAACTTTTAATTCATAATAAAATATGGCAATCTTTTACAGAAATTAAGTGAATGGCTAATTATACCTATTGTGACAAGCTATTTTGTTAAATGCTTATTTCTGACAGTCCTCTTCGTCAAACTAAATTGTTAACCAGTTGCTATCCAATGCAGTTGTGCGCTTTAAAACTTAATATGAAATTTTCATTTTCATTTTCAAAATGTGCCGGAATGAGAAAATGAACAGAAAACAAAATGCTCTGTGTAAATGAAATATTGCAACTTTTCTCGATTTCAAATGGCAAACCTTTAATTTGTTTTACATTTGTGTTTGTGTTACGGCAATGGTTTCATATCTGACTTACTGGACACAATTTTGTTTTTAGTTCAAAAAATGTATCTCACCATTTATTCAATTTCTATCATGGTTGATTATGGTTGACCTTAACTTTGCGATTTGCGAGCAAGAAATATTTTACGACGACGAACCACAATATTGTCGAGCAAACAACTAATTAATTGAATTACTGCGTTGATCTAGGCAGTATTTTTTTAAGGAATGCCCCTCATTACTTTTGGAAACTGGATATATGTTCATACGACGATTGGTAGATGGTATTACATTTGCTACGTTTACACGGCAACATTCTATCGGAGCCGAATTACTGCTCCTCCCACCGATTAACGAGAGATTATCTCCAATGCGTTTACACGGTCGGGCTGAACGAGAACCAAGATCCGCTTGAGTTTTGTTCAGCGAACGGAACAGCGTCCTCAATTACTTACTGAAAACAACATGACTTAAAACGATTTTAGTGTCGTGCTTGTGTGACCGCTTCTACGATTTTTATCTTCGTTGTCTGTAAAAAGTTTCTTCAATTTCTATTGGATCTGTTCAGTCGCACAATTTCGTACTCCATTTTTATGTTACTCGTTGAGCTATCAATCTATCACAGTACTTCTTTACTCTGTCAAATAGATATTAGGGCGCGTACCTCTTCGTCAAGCCATAAATTACAAACGATATGATGCTGTCTCCGCCATGAGAGGTTACCTAAAGAAGATGATTGAGGGCGTGATTTCGGTCC